TTGGCAATAGTCATATGTACTAAAAATTAATGAGCTCTGTTTAATCCTATCTACAAAATTGATCAATACAAATACAGATACACATTTGGTCACACTCAGAGACACATTTACAGACACAGTCTTATACACAAACACAGTTATACATTCAGACATACTTTATATACGTATTCATAGAGGATTGGCGATGAAGACCCAGGGCTTCACCCGAAAGGTACAGTACATGGCAACTTCTACCCTATGTTTGTTTACTATTCAAAACGCGACATCTTGTATGTTAAATCATTGTATTATTTGTAATTACATAACTGATAGTATCAATAAAAGGGGTTATAGAAAATATTCTAAAAATATTAATAGTGAGAGATAGGCATATCACCCTTCCCCCCAACCCCCAATAGCAGATTATTAGGAGAATCAGGGCTCACAATGAAAAAGAAGTAAAATCAGACCCAGAGATTTACATGAGCCCTCGCTAGCAAAGCCCCTGCCACATATATATATACATACAAGCACAAATACACATCAACTAATACTCAGAAACCACACTTTCACAGACACCACTCTTAGACACACATAACACACTCACAGACACAGTTTGATAGGTCTGAACTCGGTAGAGGAAAGCGATGTATAAACCTGTGCTTGATCTACATGTTACAAGAGTCCTGGCTTATGGTGATAGAGCTATGTTATGGGTGATTGAGTGGACCGATTTCACGTGTTTCACTTGACTAGTCTGCAGACACCACACTCATTGATAGATATAGGCATGGACTTGCAAACATATAAATTCATGTTGCACTTTCCCCTTAGAAATTTGCGGACATGGTGACAGGGAGATGTAAAACGTGAAAGGTTGCAGACTGTCCTACAAGAGGAAGTGTTGGTACCATTGGTGCAGGAGCAGTCATAAATTTGTATTCTCTGCATGTCTGTAATTGTATCTAGTGCAGTTCTGTGAGTGAGAGAGGCCAATAAGGAAGGGGGAAGGGGTGAACCATCACATTAACCTTTCTCTTACTTGCACAATATGATGCACTACAGAAGAAGCAGTCACAGGCAATATGTACACAGCACATAACTGATTTTGTACTTGGTGCATTTGATGTGATCTTCTGTACCAAACTACAAATAATAATAATATGGCCAGCAGTATGTAAAATTAAATGGAATAAAACCCAACCTGTGAAATGCTAACAAAACAAAACATAGGAATTGCCCATGTATGATACTTTGAATTAACTTATCTGTCCCAACTAGAAGTACTGGACAAGATGGACACCCTTTCTGACTCACATACTTACTGGCAGACACAATCACTGACACACACACTCACTGACAGACAAACCCACACACTCACAAATAATTGTATTTCGTGTTTTATTAGATTTTTTTTTTTTTAGGTGTGTCCAGCCTCCGTACCTTTAGGAGAGCTGATACGGTCCTCTACATGGGATCCAATAGGGATCTTCTCCCTGTGGTCCAGTAGGGATCTTCTCCCTGAAATCTGGTGGCTACAGACAACTGGTCCTCCAGTTTATCACTATTGTCTTGCTATGTTTAGTGATGCCGGGGCCAGAATGACATCATATTCTGGTTCCCTGCATCAACACAGATGGTGCACAAGGGAGCAGTGAGGAACTGGAAACACGTCAGCACTTCCTCTTCCTCCCCTGGTATATGTTGGCAGAGTAGACACCTGCCATGTGGATAAGCAGGTACCTACTCTGCCTTACTGAATAAGTTACCACTTCGGGAGCACCCTAAGGTAGCCAGTCGGCCACCACCTTCTGGGCCCCCTGTGACAGACCATTGGTCTGCTCCTCGCTGTGCCACCCTACCTTCTGGCACCCGGGTGTGGTGCCCCCATCCATCCACCAAGGATCGTCCCTGTCTGTAATTTTGATGTGGCTTTGCTTAGAAAGAAGCTCAAACTTTCCTGACAATAAGAATTGCTCTACATACTGTCTGCCTCCTCATTAAACGGACACGATAGGCACCCAGACTACTTCATCTCATTGAAGTGGTCTGGGTACAGTGCCCCTGTCCACTTAACCATGCAATTGTAATTATTGCAGTTACTGAGAAACTGTCTACTATAGGTGCTTCTGGACTTTTGGTCTGTTAAATGACACTGAACATCCCCACACTTTGCATGAGTACATCCAGCATCAGCTAAAACGCCATAGGAAAGCATTGATTCAGTGCTTTCCTATGGTGAAGTCCTAATGCAAGTGTGGCAATTAGGTTCCCCCGTCGGTGGGGTGAAGGCGCTGAAATCAGGTCATTGACAAAAGGGGTTTTAATCCTTTCTGCGCTGTGGGGGTAGGAGGGAGCTTTGTATTTCTAGCACTATAGTTTCTCTTTAAGCCTGTCCCTCTTCAGCTATCCTGCTAAATATTACAGCTGCTTTTCTGTGCTTTTTTTGTAAAACAAACCAAATCAAGATGCCAGAAATTAGATACCACAATAATCTAGCTGAATCAAAAACTAAGAATGAAAAACCAGGAACGCGCTCTTGAGTAATCAGGAACCATGGCAGGGAACTGATAATTGGTGCAGAGCCATATTAACGCATGGGTACGCTGGGCAAAGCATAAGGGACCCATAGCCGTGCGTAGTAGTGACTCACTACAGGGGGATTACTTCCTTGTGCTGCCCTGCCCTCCCGAAGGAACTTAGAAACATAGAATGTGATGGCAGATAAGAACCATTCGGCCCATCTAATCTGCTCAATTTTCTAAATACTTTTATTGGTCCCTGGCCTTATCTTATAGTTAAGATAGCCTTATGCCTATCCCACGCATGTTTAAACTCCTTTACTGTGTTAACCTCTACCACTTCAGCTGGAAGGCAATTCCATGCACCCACTACCCTCTCAGTAAAGTAATACTTTCTGATATTTTTTTTAGACCTTTGCCCCTCTAATTTAAGACTATTTCCTCTTGTTGTGGTAGTTTTTCTTCTTTTAAATATAGTCTCCTACTTTACTGTGTTTATTTCCTTTATGTATATAAATGTTTCTATCATATCCCCCCTGTCTCGTCTTTTCTCCAAGCTATACATGTTAAGTTAATTTAACCTTTCCTTGTAAGTTTTATCCTGCAATACATGAACCACTTTAGTAGCCCTTCTCTGAACTCTCTAAAGTATCAATATCCTTCTGGAAATACGGTCTCCAGTACTGCGTACAATACTCCAAGTGAGGTCTCACCAAT